TTCTCACTGACCCACAGCACTGAGAAGAAATAGGCATAGGCAGATCATCCTCTAAGTGGCCCTTCTGAAGTTGACCAGGTGTCTTACTTTGGGAGTGGCTAGTATTCCTGATTACTGCATCTTGGGAAACCCTAAAAGGTCCACCCTGGTGTGGGCCTGCTTGTGCCTCAGGTGGCCTCTGGTGTGTCACCTGTCTCGGCTGATCCTTTGGGCTGGAGTGGGTCAGTGGGTGGGCACGCCCTCATGGCTTCTCCCTCCAGACTTAGTATGACCATCAAGTTGCTTTTGTTACCCAACATTGGCTTCCTTGATTGTATAAAATGGGTTAGCACCCATCTTCAAATTCAAGTCAAATAGGTCTGTGCTGGTGGGGGCTCAACAAGATCACATGTTGGGTCATGGAAAATCCCTATGGCTTCTGTGAAATAGTAAACGTTAGCTGTAAGTTAGCTGATGTTTCCAGCTTTCTTCCTATATGCTCCTCACCCAAACCGTTCCTGTAAAATCAGATGGACTTGGATAGCCAGGAGGGAGCAGGCCAGAGGATGAACACAGAAGGTGTGAAGATTCAGGGCCACTCTGCCCACTAGAACAAACATGCACCTCAGACTAACAATTTCCAAATATTCACTGAGCATCCCTTGTGTCATGTATGAAGTGACCACAGTGAGGAAAAGACACAAAGGCAGACACCATAGGAGATCTCAGAGCAGGAAGTCCCACACCGGGGAGGGTGCTGTTGTCATTCTTTGACTAAGGCGTGTCCTCTGTGTAACTGTCTTGCCACTCTGCTTTTGAAGTCCATTATGAAAACCTAAAACCCTGCCTTTATATTCACACAATTGCGATAGAAACCTGTAAGTAAAACAGCACGCTTTCTCACCAGGTCTGTGTGTGCAACTCTCCACCTGTCTTGTCCTTTTTCTCTTTCCAGCCCAATGCAATGGCAGACCAGAATCCTAAGTGTCATTAAATGACCAAACTAGATGTATTTTAAAAGCCAGTCATCCATGCCACCTGAATAAATGGAACCACCTAGACTTTTAAGACTGGTGGGGACTCACCCTGAATTTGTTTGTGACTCATTCACATTGAGTGTGTGTTTGGTCTCAGCCCTTGATAAAAACCTCTTCCAATCTGCTGGGAGATTTCCTTACTAAAGACATGTATTTTCTGCTTAAAACCCATAGGCGAGGAAATGAGGCCTCGTTTGTTCCTTCCAGAAGGGCTGGAGGCCGCAGAGTTATCGAAAACACAGATGGTTCTGAAGAAGAAATGGATGCTCGGGACTCAGACTTCAATGGAACCAAAGCCAGTGAATAAAACCAGAATTATATACTTGACAGGGAAAACAAAAAACACTAAAGACAGCAGAACCTGGCAGATTCTGCTTGGCATTTGGCTCCATTCATTCTCAAGTCGCAGACCTCACCCCCACCCCTCACCATGAGTTGACCCACAGCCCTACACAAAGGGTGTGAATTCAGGGTTTAGGATGTGCTATCAGAGAAAACCCAGAGAAGAGATACAGGGACTGTGCAGATAGGTTTAAAGAGAACAATCACAGTCACTAGTCACCAGCAACTTTGTTTACATGAAATGAGTAGTTACCTAAATTGGTACCACTGCCCCAAGCCCACTCCCAAATCATTCCCTGACCAGCCAGCCACTCCAGCTCAGGATGAGAGCCCTTGTCTGAAAATTCCCTTTCCCTTCCTGGCTGTCACACCTCAGACACACACAGTTCACCAAGACCAAGTGACTTTTTTGGTCACATGAATTACAAAAGAAACACTGCTCCAAGGGCTGAGAACAGGGGCCACACTGTCTTACTTGCACCCATGGACACTTTCACTAATAAAAGGTTCTAAGTCACGAGAATGGAGTTGGCTCTTCTGTCAAGCTGTTGTCTTATACAGGATGGGGCAGGATGCTCTTATTTAATCCTCTCAGTCACCCTGTGAACTTTTTGAGTTATTTCATAAATTGGGGAAACAATCATGGAGAGATGCAACATGCTAGAGTAAGGGACTTTATTTGGATAGAAGAAGCTGGAAGGTTGTATACAAGCCTGTGTAACTGAAGTACTAAGGAGAGCATTTTACAACCAAACCTGTCTCTGTACTGCTTGAGTATCTGCTCTGGGAATCCAAATGTCCCAACACCTTTGAAGACCCTTTTGCACCAGCACTGGAAAATCTCAAATGGAATAGGTCATAATCAAAACTCAGACACACTAAAATTACTGAATAAAATTACCTTCAGGCATTGGGCACAGGGGTGTTATTCCCAGCACTTACAGCAGCAGGGCTGGGGGGTGCGGGTGTTGGGGGTAGTGTAGGAGGATGGAAAACTTAAGGCCCTGGGCTACATAGTTCTGGGATGGCAAGATTTATATAATGAGACCCTGTCTCACATAAAAATTACTTTCAAGCTACATGTAGAAGGCATACATGAAAGCCTCCAAGCTGCCCAAATATTACATCATAAATACACCAAGTCTTAGGTTGTAGCATGAACTCTAATCAGTATTAATAATAATAAAACCCAGAGTCAGATATTGGGGTAGGGTGGGGACCTGAAAGATCAGAAAGGCAAAAAAGCCAGCTACTATTTCTTATCTCTACTGAATCCTCAGACAAAGGGGAGATACTGTCTCTAGGAATTCTGACTAATGCATTCTCGGACTGACTGCTAGACTGCATCTGTGTCTACAAATCCTTAGACTCTTGTCTCCTCTTCCCTTATATTTCTCTCTGCCCAGCCATATCACCCCTGTCTCTACCTCCATGGTGTTGGGATTAAAAAGATGTGATGCCAAGTGCTAGGATTACCTTTGTATGAGCTGTTTCTCTTTTAGACTGGATCACTTTTATGTCACCCAGGGTGGCCTTGAATTAGCAGAGATCGGCTGTCTCTGTCTCCTGAGTGCTGGGATTAAAGAAAGCTGTGTGCCACCACTGCCTGGCCTCTGTTGCTAACTAGTGTAGCTAATCTGCACTCTGATCTTCAGGCAAGCTTTATCTGTTACAGCACAAAGTTTCACCACACTAGGTACTTTTCATCCCCAGCCTTTCAAAGACAGCACACTCAATCAGTATTTTAAGTACAAGGTTTCTTGATCTGTTTAAATTACATCATAGTATTTTTGTTCAGCAGAGTGGGTCAGCAAAATACCTCCGAAAGCCAGACACATAATATTTAAGACTGGTACTCACAACACGACAGTGTAAGCCTGACAACCTGAGCCTAATCCTTGGAATTCACATAAAGATAGCAGTACTCTGAACACCATGTGAGTGCTGTGGCATATACTCCTTCACACACAAATAGTGAATTTAAATATTCAGACTTGTAGGCCACACCTGCCTCTATAACACATCTTCAAGCAAAGTGTTTAAAAAAATAATAAAAACCCAAACACCTAGGCATGGCAGCCCATGCTTAAATGAAGGCTGAGGCAGAGTTGACCATAAGTCTGAGGCTATCTTACCCCAATAACCATTTAAGAAACTTCTTAGTATGAAGACCCTACAGTAGCAGGCCAGGGCCCTGTAATTCCCAATTACAGTACTCTAGGTAGACATGCTATACAAAAGTTACAGTCCGCACAAACTTTTCCAAAGCCCAATTGAACAGGTTTAAAAAAAAAAAAAAAAAAAAAAAAAAAAGATGAGACAGGAAATACAGACCCTGAAAACGCTAGCTCTTCCACTTGAATGCTAATGTAACTGGGATGGCACACAAACACTTCCCCTAAATCACTGACGAAAACTTCAACAGGAACTTTTAAAGAACAGATTCAGTATATGTAAGGTGCTTGCTTCGCAAACATGAGGTCCCAAATTCGGACTCTCAGTACCCATAAAAAAGCTGGGCATGATGGCATGCTTCTGTGACCCCACCCTGCAGGGCAGAGAAAAGGAGACTCAGAGCTTGTTGGCCAGCCTAACAAATGGATGAACTTGGTTCAATCAACCTCTGTGCGCACATGGGCCCACATACTCACCCATACACCTACATACACCACCCAGACAACCGAGGAAGACACCAGATATTGATCTCTGATCCCCATACAGTGCATAGGTGCCTCTAAATCCAAATAAGCAACTGCATATATCCACACATAAAATACTTTCCCCCCACTATTTTATAACTTGGCTAAACAAACACGAACTTCAGGGCCTTGTGCACAGGCATGGAAGGACAAACACACAGCAGAGCAGGGATTTCTTTTGATTTTATTATTATTTTTAATATAAAAAATAAAGTCCATCTTTTCCCAGGTTAGAACATCTGAGGGGAACAGATAGCCACACAGCTGAAGCCACCTTGTGAATGCCAGCAGCACTCAGAAAATTCTAGGTCCGATTCAAGGCCAGTGTCGCCCCATGTACTAGAAAGTAAGTTAGTAGCTCTGGAATTAGTGTGTGTGCTTCTCATTGTAGACCAAAGTGTAAGGCAGTGCTTCACCCCAGACAGACAGACAGACATGAGTCTGGTGTTGCAGTTCCTGTGCTGATTTTCCCCGATCCCAAGGGAGCATGCAGCAGAGATCTCAATCTGATGATTTAGCCACCCTGGTTATTCTACAGTGTCTGGATAAAGTCTTGTTCTTAGGGATGGCATTAACAAGGGCCAGTCCAACTCCAAGTTGTCCAGGGTCATGATGCAGAAGTCACCTCTACATCAGGGCAAGGGACTCAGAAAAGTTAGAAAGCTGGGTTTATCTAGAGGATAATCTCCTACTGACCTAAGAGTCAGACCCATATCTAAAAACCTTCATAAGGCAGATTAAGAGTATCAAAGAGCTGGGTGGTGGTGGCACATGCCTTTTCCAGCACTTGGGAGGCAGAGGCAGGCATATTATCAGTGAGTTCGAGGACAGCATGGTCTACAAAGTGAGTTTCAGGACAGCCACGACTGTTACACAGAGAAACCCTGTCTCAACCCCAACCCCCCACCAAAAAAAAAAAAAAAAAAAAAAAAAAAAAAATAGCCTTATGCCTTTGTATTCTCCCAGTCCTAGACCAATTTAACCAGGCTGTAAAAAGCACTGACAGCTCCACCAGAAATAGGCTGCAGAGGAGAGCTTCTGAGCTGGGTTCTAGTTCCCCCTGAAGATCATGCATATTCAAAACACCTCTGAAGACCATTAAAACTCTAGGTAGCCCCCATCAGCAGCCTGGGGATGGGGGTGTGGTGACAACCAGCTCATTTCTATGATACACACTGCCAGGAACTGGGCCAACAGCCTTCGTCAGCTTGGGCTGCACAGCACCAAGTGAGGGGTGGTGACGTTGGCTCTTACTCCTCAAACTAACTTGAAAATAAAACAACCAAAAGCTGAATACAAAAGGGGTAAGAGAGGTGAGTGCGCAGTTCCCATCGGTCCTAAAGCAAAAGCTTGACCACACCCTGGGCGGATGGCAGCGCTGGTGATGAAAGCTGTGAGGCTGTCTTCCCAAACTCCAAGCGTTTTCCTGACCTTCAGACAGAGCAAACCATATTTATTGGATGAGAGCAGTTTCCCAGTGGCTAGCAAAGGGCCCCAGGGTTCTAAGAGTAAATGTCAAGAGCGGGAACAATTCTCACAGGGTCTCAATTTTCTCTCCTGTGAAATGAAGAAAAGGATACTGGCTATCTGGTTCCCTGATTCCAAAGGCTGCAGAAAAAGCCCCCAATCTCAGAAGACCCTACAAAAGCGTTCATTTCATTTAGAGTGGGGAGTGCTTAGAGTTGAATCCAGGGGCTTGTGTCTACTGAGCAACATATACAGCTCCTTGAATTTAACACACACACACACACACACACACACACACACACACACACACACACACACGAGTGAGGTTGAAGAGATAGCTCAACAGGTAAAGATGTTTGTTGTTTAGCCTTAAAACCTGAGTTCAACCCCAGAACCCACACAGTAGAAAGAACTGACTTTTGCACCTTCACACATCACACATGCACTATCGAAAACACACTGTGCATATGTGTGTACCACACACACAATAAATATAATTTTAAAAAATTATCTTAAATAAAAATTTTGACTGGACATGGTGGTATGTATGCATTTAATCCTAGCACACAGGGTGCAGAGACAGGCAGCTCTTTGGTCTGCACAGGCCCCTTCAAGCCCCAGGCCAGCCAAGGCTACCCAGTGAGGCCTGGTCTCAAAAATAAATAAACAGACTTAAAAATCTGTGCTAAAAGGTCCAGAAGCTAAGTGTGCACTGTGTATCAATTCACTTCCCTCCAGTGCCTGCTTCACACCTGTCAGACTGATATGGCCTGGGGCCCAGGGCAATGCAGGCTTCTTTTGGTGAATTCCTAGATCTATCACCCTTACGTGATAAAATAAAAGAAGTGTTGGCAGTCAGTGCTGTTTCCCATTCCTGTGGCTGTTTTCAGGAATCTGGTCTGGCTGGACTGATTCAGTCCCTTCAGTTTCTTGAAGGTCCTACATATTTAAAAATAAGGGCTCAGTGATAGCTCAGTTGGTAAAAGTGCTTGCCTTGCAGCATTGGGCCCCAAGTTTGATCCCCAATGCCCACGTAAAAAGCCAGACATGATGAAGGCCCATGCTTTTGATTGCAGCACTGAGGAAGCAGAGGCAGGAGGGTTCCTGGGTTTAGCCTACTTGAATTCCATGCCAGTTAGATTTTGCCTCAAAAATCAAGGTGGACAGCACTTGAGGGTCACCACTTAAAGTTGACCTCTGGCCTCCACATAGTATGTATTGTATCCCAACTCACAAAATGTTCTGGGAGAAGTGCAACTCCCCAGCAAGGGATTTGGATAGGACTTCCTCACAGTGCAAAAGCACATTACAAATGCTGTTCTTTCCTTGTTTGATATCTACTTTGGCTGCATGCAAAGGATTTATTCAAGGCCAGCCTGGGCTGCAGAGGAACCCTTTGTCTCACAAAAAGGAAGTAGAGGCTAAGGTTTGCTGCAGTAATCCTATAGCCTAAAACTAGAGACAAGGGGAGCTGGGACTAGTGTCCGATCTGGAGCAGCCTAATACCTCCCAACAGAGTTTACCAAAGGTACTGACCCCTTATCTCCCACACTGGTGCTGCCTGGTCGTCTGTCACCACCATCTCTATTTTTGGTTCCTCGACTTGAGGCTGGCCCACTTGTCCGGCTTGGGGACTGATCATACACGAAGTTCCTGCATGATGCTAGTTTGGACTCCAGGGCCTGGGAAGAAACACATTTTCATCAGTCAAAGTATAGACAAGGGGCTAGAGAAGTATCCAGCTTGGGAAGGGAGTGCTTGCCAAGCGCGCATGAAGCCCAGGGTTTGAACCCCAGCAGTACATAAACTAGGTATGGCATACCTGTAACCCCAAAACTCAGGAGGTAGAGACAGGAGGATCAGAAGTTAAAAGTTATCTTCAGTTACAGGCAAATTTGAGGCCAGTCTGGGCCATGTGACCCTGTTCCTATTACACCCTCCCTCACCCCTCAAGGAAACAAAAAAGACAGGGACACAAAAGTATGAGAGCCATTAGGCAAGATGGCTTTGACCCCAGTCCTTAAAAGGCAGGGGCAGGCAGATCTGTCTGAGCCCAGCCAAACAAGATTCCGGATCCCTTGCCAACCTGACCTACATAGTGAGCTCTAGGACAGCCAGAGTTACAGAGAGATTAGACTATCAAAAAAAAAGAGAGAACAACCTAAATTGTGATCCCAAGATTCTGAGGGATCATCAGTGGAACTGAGTGCATCTACAAGGACTAAAACTACCCACCTAAAATATCCAGAAGCTTCCCAGAAAAATCATTAACTCGACCTAGTGAAATATGAGCTAGGCATGGTGATGCACACCTGTAATCCCAGCACTCAAGGGACTGAAGCAGGAGAATTACTCTAAATTCTAGGCCAGCCAAGACCCTGTGTCAAAACAAAAAAGAACTACCCTTACTAAATACTAACAACAATAATAATCATCTTCTGAAACCATTCACTTGTTTATCTCATTAAGCCTGCACAGAGGAACTTGGAGGAAACAAACCTAAAAATAGACAGGTCCTACAGACCTGTGTTTGCAAAAAAGAAACTCTCTCTCTCTCTCTCTCTCTCTCTCTCTCTCTCTCTCTCTCTCTCTGTGTGTGTGTGTGTGTGTGTGTGTGTGTGTGTGTGTGTGTGTTTTCTTTTTCTGCCTCAAGCTAGGCCAAGCTAGGATGACACTAATGGCCTTTGGGCATAGTTTCTAAAAGTGAAAGCACAACTACAAAGAATTCTATGTTGCTGCTTGAGGACAAAAGCTTCTCCCAATAATTACATAAAGACAAGAAGGACAAGGCCTTTGCTCTCTCTTCTTAAGATGTTCTATAGTCAGAGAGAGAGAGGGAGGAAAGAGGAATAGTCTATTTTTAAATGGCTCTTGGGATTTTCTTTTTTTCTTTTTTTTTTTTTTTTTCTTTTTCTTTTTTCAAATTAAGAAATAACCTACAGCTAAGAGTTGTAGCCCACAGCTATAATCTCATATTTTAGGGACTGTGAGGCAGGAGGAGTGTGCAGCTGATACAAAATGAGACCCAATCTTAGGGAAGAAAGGGAGAGAGGGAGGGGAGGGAGGGAGGGAGGAAGGAAGGAAGGAAGGAAGGAAGGAGTCAAGGAAGGAAGGAAGGAAGGAAGGAAGGAAGGAAGGACATAGACACCACCTTACTATACTCAATTTCTTGGGAGGAAAGATGGAAGATGCCTGAGAAGGAAAAGGACACCTGGATTGTGAGCACCCGACCCCTCTGCAATGAAACCCCACCTCATAAAGTAAAGATGCTCAGAGTCATAGAAGGACCAGGCTCACCTAAAACTCAGATCTCTGTGCAAAGAAAGGCCCTCTCTAGAACACCTTCAGACAAAACCCCGCAGAGGCCAGAGCTTACCCCAACTTTCCGAAGCAGATCCCCAACAATGTTTAAGGCTGATATCCGGGCTGCAGGTGTGAGCGGTGTTCCACTATTAGAGCTGTCCAGACCTGGGTGTGCAAGAAACATGGGTCACACAGTATCCTACAGTCTGTGACCCCTGCCACCACACTCAGACTGTAGGGGTAGGGACTTTGATTCTGGTCACCATCTTATTTCATTAAGGAGTTAACTGGGCAACATGCCAAGAGTCCACCAGTCTATTTTTTGAGTTCTTGATAAGATTGTCTTAAACATCTATTTGTTACGGGTTAATCTTTTTAAACTAAGCCAAGGCACATCTAAGAATTCCACATAGCTCATTAATATTAACAATGACCGGAATAGAAACATGCATGGTGGAAAAAAAAGTCACAATTTGGGAAGGGAGGCAGGGTCCCTCTTGTCAATCTGGGCATTAGGATTGCAGCCATGCATCACCACAGCCACAATCCACATGAAATAGCACCACTCATGGCCTGTGATGGCCTAACTTCCACAAGCACATCATAGCAACCCCCATAAGAAAATATAAATTTAAGTTATAAGCCTCTCCCCAAACATACAACTGTAGACCCCACTAAGACCAGCCAAACCTGAACCACTAACTCGTTCCGAGGTGTGGTGGTTTGACTAAGAATGGCCCCAATAGGCTCATATATTTTAATACTCAGTTATCAGGGAGTGAAACTGTTTGAAAAGATTACAAGGATAAGGAGGTGTGGCCTTGTTGGAGTGGTTCTGTTGGAGGTAGTGTTACGGGGGTTGGCTTTGAAATTTCAAAAGCCCATGCTAGGCCCAATATGTCTACTTGTGGATCAGGAAGTGCCTGCCTGCCACCATGTTTTTTGCCATGATGAAAATGGACTAAGCCTCTGACTAAACCAAGCCTCCGGTTAAGTGCTTTCTTTTGTAAGAGTTGCCTTAGTCATGGTGTCTTCACAGCAATAGAACAGCAACCAAGACACCAAGTAAGCTGTGTGAACCCAGAAACACAGGAAACTGCTCTGGACTGAGACCCCCAAAGACCACACCAATCTTCATCAGCAAGGCTCACACTGTGAGCTAAAGCTTATACCCTGGAATCAGTCCGCCTGGCTGCAAACCTCAACTCTGCAATTAACGTTAGGTGACTTCAGGGACATTGATGAACACATCTGAAAGATGGGACAACCACCTGCAGGGCAGGATGTGACAAAGCTCTGTGAGGTCTTACCTACTATGAGGTCTTGTAAAGACTGTGTGACATACAATGACCATTTGATAATTGTCTATATGCATTCAGGGGCCGGACTGATGAGGTGAATCAGTCAAAAGGCTGGAGACAGAACTCAAAATGTTCAGTTTTAACCACACCAATTACACTGGACCCATTTCCAGGTAGAACTGCCCCCCCCCCACCATCATAAATATTTACTTATTTATGAGACAGGCGCTCACTGTATAAACCAGGCTAGTCTTGAACTCTCAATTCTACAGCCTCTGCCTCCAGAACACAGAGATTACAGATACATGTCATTGTGCCCAACCCATGATGCTTTTGGCTTTTATTTGTGTGTAGCATTTAGATCTGGTTTCTAGCCTCTGGGGTACATGGGGTGGGCTGCTAGGATGGATCCACATCCTCTATGGCATGAGTTAAGAGGCTGCTGTCCTTCTAGATAGTTTCTGTCCTTTACCATGGGATCTGATATGCCATGCCTCATTCAAGCCTGCCCCACCAATCATCCACACTACCCCCTAACCCTGAGCCAGACCTGAACCATCTTATCCAGGACCCACACTAGGTTCTAACCAGAGCAAATTTTTTATTCACTCACTCACTCACTCACTCACTCACTCACTCACTCTTCATTCATCCATTCGTTTTTGAGGCAGGGTCTTTCTACAAAGCCCTGGCTGTCCTGGAACTCACTATGTAAATTGGCCTTGAACTCAGAGCTCCACCTGCTTCTGCCTCTTAAGGCATTCACCACCACATCTGGCCTAAGAGCAAACTCCCTGAATCAAAGAAAATTCTCCCTTGGCCCATTTCCTCACCACGTCTGAATAATCCGGGTGTGTTCAAACCAGAGCTGGGTCCTCGGTGAGCTGTGGGAGTGGATGGAACAGAGCCTGTGGCCTGCACAGCCATGTCTGTCCTTTCAGTTTCCACGGAGGCTGGCATAGGTGTTCGGGGCTTGTCTTGCTTCTGCTGCACAGCCAATTCCTGCCGAAGATCTGTGCAAGGGAAGGATGCAGAATATGAGGCCTTACTTTTGGGTGAGAATGGGGCCCAAACAGGAGGACTATGACCTAGAAATCAAAGGAGGTACACCTACATGCCCTCCTAACAGTTATGAAAAAACAATGCACTTTCCTTTTGTATGAAATAACAGAAGGATGGAAAACTACAGTACATGTTTCACAATACGAATGGTTAAAAAGAATTCACATTGTGGTACAGACAGAATCCCAAGTGAACCCCCACCCAGGGCCCTTTTTCCTCTGGAACACATGGCCAAGTTCTCCCTTCCTCCCTCCCTCTTTCTCTCTCTCTCCCTCCCTCCCTCTCTCCCTCCCTCTCCCTCCCTCCCTCCCTCTCTCTCTCTCTCTCTCTCCCTTCCTCTCCCTCCCTCCCTCCCTTTCCCTCCCTCCCTCCCTCCCTCTCCCTCTCTCTGTGTTTGTGTGTGTTTCCCCTTTTCTTTTTTGAAGCTGGAGGACAATTTTATTAGAATTTAAAAGGTAAACCCTAAGCAGGCAAGCTTGAAATCTCAGCAGCTGCCAGATGGAAGTTTAGAGAAAAGGAAGAGAGAAAGCCACATCTTTGAGATAGGCCAATGCACTCAGCAATGGCAAGGGAATGAGGAGACCTTCAAAGGGAAAGCCCAAAGTGCCAGGCTTTGGTCAATGTTGGAAAGAGACAGAGGAACAAGGAAAAGCAACTCAGAAAGTTGGGTAGACTTGTACAGCAGCAAAGCAGTGGCTTAGCAGATGACTGCCTTTTTGCTAAGAGTCCAGGGCAGCCTCAAAGGTCCTCCCAGTCACCTCTTGAGCACTAGACACCAAGTGTCCACCACCACCTAGCCTTTCCAGACCTCCTCTGTATACTGTTCACATGTGCTAGAGGCTCCCACTGAACATGATACAAGTGATTTTAGGAAACATTAGCAGGTAGATGTGCCACTTCTATCTGTGACTAATTCCATGAAGAGTCTGGCCCATCTCTCCCATGAAAGCTTGTCTACCAATGCCCAGTCATTTTAATAACTGTTTAACACTCCACAAAATACATTCCTATAATTTATTGGCATCTTCATTACTGATGGCAGGTTGAAGAGGCCAGTAGCTCTTACCTAAAATGTTTTGGACCAGATATGCTCCAGATTTCAGAGTTCTTTAAATTTTGTGATATTTGATTGACTTTATTAATCAATTGAGAATTTCTCCCATCCAATTTTTTTCTGGTTTTTTTTTTTTTTTTTTTTGAGACAAGGTCTCCGTAGAACAAGCTGGCCTTGAACTTGCTAGGAAAGCAAGGATGCCTTTGAACAATTGATCCTTCCCCAAAGTGCAGGGAGTACAGGTTTGCACCACCATGCCCAGCTCTACTGAGTACTCCTAATGGAATCCAACATGTTCTGAAATCTAGAACTATTTAAACTTGACTGTTGCTTTTAAAACTGTATCTAGCGACTACATCATTAAAAATTAAATTGTCATTTAAAAAATAAAAAAGGAAAAAGAAATGAAGACATGGGCATGATGGCACACACTTTTAATATGCAGGAGCCAGAAGCAGGCAGACTTGTGAGAGTTCGAGGCCAGCCTGGTCTACAAAGTGAGCTCCAGGACTATATAGAGACACCCTGTCCTGAAAAACAAAAATAAATAGTAATAAGGACCTGGAGCAAACTCTCTTGAGCACTTAGCTTGGATGGCTCACCAATGAAGGTCTCATCACTCTAAAAACTTCATGCCTGGAACAAGAGCCAAAAGTTGGCCAGTGATACAATGCATTTTTAACTCCAGGAAACTTTTGTGCTTCAGCCAGGCCTCAAGCCTGCCTGATATGTGTAGAATCATTCCGAAGAGTCGTTCCTGAACCAAGGAGGACAAACCCATGAACAAAGCTGAATCTGTCCACTCCAAGGCTTTTCCTTCAGACAGGAGGTCTCTGACAGCCATCCCAGTGATCACTGACAGTTGCTGATAATTTGGAGCACCCATCCTGGCAAGTGTCCACACAGAGCTGTCCCTCAGCTCTGTGAGGCCTGCTCACATACCAAACAGCTCCAAAGTCCCTGGAAAGGCAGTGCTAGGCAAGGTCAAGAATAATGCTGTCAGACTAGAGAGATGGCTCAGAGGTTAACAGCCCTGACTGCTCTTCCAGAGGTCCTGAGTTCAATTCCCAGCAACCACATGGTGGCTCACAACCATCTGTAATGAGATCTGGTGCTCTTTTCTGGCATGTAGGCATACATGCAGACAGACACTGTATACATAATAAATAAAATATTAAAAAAATAATAATAATGCTATCTTGAGTAGAGAGGTACCACACAGGGGAAGACAGGGAAAGCCTCTGACCTCTTGCTTCATCCTTCAACCTCTGCACAGATTCTAGAAGATTTTCCTTCTCATCCAGCTCACTCTCCAGGAAGGCATTTCTTTCGATTGCTTGATTCAAGCGTTGCTCAAAGTCTTCCAGGGACATGATTGTGGCTCTAGGTAGAAGAAACACAAAGTTATCCAAGATAGCAATGGCAGTATCTGTTGGTGCCTGCAGACCTGGAAGACATGACGGATGTACCTGGGCTATCCTGAATACCACAGGCTTTGTCAAGTCTGTTAGCTTCTTGGGCCTCAGGATCTTCACATACAAAATGGAATCATCAGCGCTGAGAACATGCACCAGGTTGTTTTGGGGGTCAAGTCTGGTGATTTCCATATGGCACTTAGTGACAAGGCTTTGCCCATCTGCATCATATGCTCTGTTCCATCACTGATGGCAAGCAGCTCCAGCTTGTCTAGGGATGCTAATTAGCAATCAGAACAGTCTAACACACACACATACACACACTCACACACACACTCATCTCTCTCTCTCTCTCTCTCTCACACACACACACACACAGAGAGAGAGAGAGAGAGAGAGAGGAGACCAGCATTCATCTCTTAGTGACTTTATTATTAAGAAAGTGATGCTGCAGACATAGCTGTCACTAAGTGCTCAAGTGCCTACCTGAGCTAAGAACCCCAACATCCACATAAAAAAACTGGGTACACAGCATGACAGCATGAGCCTATTATCCCAGTTGAGATGGTTTTCTGGCCACCTAGCCAGCCTATCAAGATAGGGAGCTCCAGGTTCACCTAGAGACCCTGTCTCAAAAACATGGCAGGGGGATTCCCTTCCCATGCACAAACTGAAATTTCAAAAGCTCTGGGCACTCAACCCTCCATCCAGCTACCCTCCAATAGCCACTCCTGTATGAACAGGGTAGGTATTTCACTAGAACACAATGGTGGTGAAGGCACTGAGGGCTGTAACCTCAAAATAATAATAAAAAGAGTTCATTTAGTGTTTAACTCTGTCTAACCCAGCTACTTTCTCTGACTCTGTTTCCTCATACAGAAAGCAGGGGTAGCAAGGGCATCTCTATGATATGAGGGAGGAAAAAAAGTGGTCCAAATAGTAAAGCACAGGCTTTTCATACAGATATGCTCATGGTGGCACTTTTAATTAGAGGCCCTGTGTTTGCCCCAGAAGGCATCTGGGGAGCTGCAGTAGGAAGCAGGTCTGGAGTCTACAGTTAACACAATACTCCTCCCTGTACGCTAACTGGGGTCTTATTCCTTCAACTGCAGGGGAGGACTGAATTTGTTAACTTGTTCAATACTCCTTATTAACATAATGTTAGCACCTGTTCTCAAAGGGTCTTAAAAGAAAGCAGAAGGGATAAAGTTAACTAAGGCACCTACTTAGTAACAACAAAATGAACACATTCAGGAGTCTACCATCAGGATCCGTCCCATGGCAGGACAGTGAAAAAAATCAAGCATCTAGGAATTTCTAGATAAAGGGAAATGGATGCTTCTGGCAAAACAGGTCTGTGCTCAGGACTCAAGGAGGCCCAAGAGATAAAGAAACTGGTCTTCTGGGATGGGAGATGGTACAATGGTTAAAGAAACTTGATTGGGGATGTTCTTCTGTATGTATGTTTGTCTTATTGGTTGATGAATAAAACACTGATTGGCCAGGCAGGAAGTGATGTAGCATAGCAGATACTGCCACTAACTAACCATAGAGGTTGGGAGGTCTATACAGACAGGCAGGACGTGACGTAGCTGGGCAGAATCAGAATAAAAAGCAGGGACAAACAGGAAATCACTCTCTTCTCTGCAGAGATGTAGCAGGCAAAGGAGATGCAGGTCCGGCCATGTGGAAATACTTAGAATGATAGAAATGAGTTAATAATTAAGGCAGAGCTACCAATAAGAAGCTCTAGCCATTGACCAACAGCTTGTAACTAATAGAGTCTCTGTGTGTTATTTTGGGACTGATGCAGCTCTGGGATCAGGCTGGCGGGAAAGTGCTCGCAACAACATGGGTACCAAGAACTTCCACTTAAACATGACAAAAGGGATTTTAGAAACAAAAGAACAGAGACAAACAAGGTTTCTTGGTAGCATCATTTTTCTCAGGTGGGCTGTTTCGCTAGAAACAAGCAGAGACTCGAGCTGTTCCTTTAAAAATAGGACTCTTTTAAGAGGCCCTGCTAACAATTCAATGGAGTGTACAAGCAGCTGGTAATGGCAGTGACCACATTTCCAAGGCGGCAGCATACTGCTTGATGACAGCATAGACCAAGGCAGTGAGCACAACTCTCAGTACTGGCAGTAAATGGACCCCTGCCATATTGTTAAGCCAGCTGCCGCTTTAATTTTAGCAATGCTGTGTAGCAGAAAAAGACATGTGGCTAGGAAAAAAGGTAGGGATATACAGGAAAGACAGGTTCAGATGAAGTAAAAAAACCTAAAATGTTTTTTACAGTGTGTTTAAAAACATACATAGGCTTGGGAAACAAAACAAAAACAAAAAATCCAAAAAAAAAAAGGATAAAGTGATTTTTTTTTTTTAAAAAAAAAAAAAAAAAGGAAGAAGCCAGGCATCAGGGGCACATGCCTTTAGTCCCAGCACACTTGGGAGGCAGAGGCAAGCAGATCTCTGTGATTTCAAGGCCAGCCTGGAGTACAGAGTGAGTTCAAGGGCAACCAAAGTTACACAGAGAAACCCTGTCACAAAAAAGAAGAAAAAAAAAACAAAAACAAAAAAACAAAGAGGAAAATGAATAGAGTAATAAAAAGTCATGAAAGAAGGAAAATACACAGATTCTAGATACTATATGCCACAGTGTTGTGTTTGAATTGTTTGACTGCTGAGGAAATAGCAACAACTGCTAAAAGCAATGCTGCTATGCTGATGGATTAATCCAATTTATATATTTTTAAAATGCCTTGACTTCAAAATTTAAGTATAAGGATATGTTACTTTGGAAAAGAGATTTTATTTATGTTTTCACGGAAAATAAAAAGCTGTGGATTCCTTCCAAACTAATATGGTTTGATGAAACAAGACCCCCTGAAGTAGTATCTGAAGTGATTAAACATTCAAAATAGCTGGGACAAGGCAACCTTGCAGACCACTACAGCCAGGATTTCTGGATCTTCTTAGGATCCCCATGGTATTACATCATCCCCAACCAGCGGAAGCAGTTTGGAGAAAAACGACACCTACATTCCCCAATATTGTCTATAAATGTTTTCATTTAAATGGGGTTGATTATAAATGGTTAATGACCACAGTCAATCTTTGTTAAAGGAAAAAAAATGGGAATAGGCTATAGAAATAAATACTTTGCATTGGTATGGGTTTTCATTTATTGATACAAATTTAAGATCAATTTTTCAATATGTATATTTCTCCTTTTGTCTAAGTATTGTGTTTGTATAGCTCATTTAAAAATGTAATGTATAATTAAGTACAAATTATAATTACCTACAATAGTCAAAACTTATAGTTAGGTTTTCTAGATATACAGAGATGTATTTAAGGTGGATAGATATTCTTCAAACCTTTTAAAGATCTACAGAATATGGCATTTAAAATGGTTTAGGGGTTTTCTTGACAGTGAGACATACTGCTCCTGGCAACACCACCTGCGTCAGAAAGGAAAATGGACATCGAAGAGTATGGAGTTTACTTTCAATATGGCAAAACTTGCCATTTGGGCAAGATAGTGCTCTTGTCTGGACTGTTTGACTTTATGCTATATAAACTGGACATGCAGGACCCACAGGAAAGTGACTGCTGATACAAGATGGATATTGCTACAGGGTTCCTGCTTCATGGAAGAGTCTGCCAGACAGTCTACCAGACACAGAAAAAAGTGGCTGACAAACTATCAATACAAGTGGGACAGTTTAAAGTTTCCTGCTTTGCTGAGGAGTCTGCCAGACACACTATGGCCTATAGGCTGAAGATGGAACATTACAGAACTTCATTTGACTAACCAGGTATCGAGATGTCTGTCTTTTTAGAGTTTATATATTATCCTTATATATATTATATATATTATATATATTATGGTTATAGTTCCTTACTTAGGATTAAGGATGTTACATATAAATCTTGCTAAATATTAATAAACCAAATATTGTTAACTGGTTCTTATTTGATAACTGTTTTGTTATATATGTTGTTAAGGTTAAAACCCTTCTTTTTATTTTAGACAGGAAAGAGATGACATTCTGTAAATATGTTTCTCATATTGGTTAATGAATAAAGCACTGTTGGCCAATAGGAAAGCAAGATAGGTGGGACTAGGAGACAAGGAAGATTCAGGGAGAGGTAGAAGGAGATTCAACATGAAGAGACTTGAGAGAGCAGAGGTCTAGACCCTCTCTCCGGTAAGATAAGACCACGTGGAAATACTTAAATTAATAGAAATGGGTTAATATTTAAGACAGAACTAGCCAATAAGAAACGCTAGTAACAGGCCAAACAGCTTTATATCTAATACAACATCTCTGTGTGGTATTTGGGGCTGCTGATATAGTTGTGGGACAAGGCTGGAGGGAAAAACTGCACATAACGTTGGTGAAGATCTATTCCCAGTCTGTGGGCTTCCATTTGGTCTTGTCGACTGTGTTCTATACTTTACAGAAGCTTCTCAGTTTCAGGAGGTTGCATTTATTAATTGTCAACCTCAGTGTCTGTGTTATTCATGAAGAAGTCTCCTGTTCCAATTTGTTCAAGAGTACCTCCCACTTTCTCTCCAAACAGATTCAGTGTGGCTGGATTATTGTTGAGGTCTTTGATCCATTAGGAATTGAGTTTTGTGCATGGCGATAGACATGGATTTATCTGCAGTCTTTTACAAACAACCATGATCCAGTTGTGCCAGCACCATGTTGAAGATGCTTTCCTCCTTCCATTGTATAATTTTAGCTGTTTGGTCAAAAATCAGGTGCTCGTAGGTGTGTGGGTTAATATCAGGATTTTCCATTCGATTCCATTGGTCTACCTGTCTATTTTTGTGCCAGTACCAAGCTGTTTTCAGGACTACAGCTCTATAATAGAGCTTGAAGTCAGGAATGGTGAAGCCTCCTGAAGTTCCTTTATTGTTCAGGGTTGTTTTGGCTATACTGGGTCTTTTGTTTT